TGGCTTTTTTGCCACCTTGAAGATTTACCATACAGAGTAGGATCAAGAATCCTGCAATGTTCAGTGTCAGCAGTGATTCACACTGCTAAAATCTTCTCGTAACCATTTGTGCTGGCGTGTTTTCATTATTTTATTAAAAAAATATACCTTTTAGGAAAATGGTTTTTAATATAGACTGACAACCTAAGTGTTTATCTAGAGCTTTGACTTCATTTCTATGTACACAATGTAAAAATAAATATCTAAACTTAATTAAATGATTACAAAATCATATATTTTAAGATGTAAATTAAATCTTATAAGGAGAAGGACAGAAAAAATTATGACAATTTGGATTTGAGGTGCATAAATTTGATTGTATAGAAATGTATAGATATGTACATATATGTTCATATATATGTATATATGTATAGATATGTACATATATGTACATATATATGTATATATGTATATGTGTGTATTCATATATAATTCATATATATATACATATATATATAATTATAGCTGTGTATGTTTAAAACAATCCTGACTTACACATCAGAGAAGTATTGCCTCCTAATAAAATACTTCCATTAAGTAGTATTTTAGGGATGAATCTTTTCAAATTCTACTTACCCTTAATAGAACTTATTTTAATGTTGGCTTTATGTAACTTTGTAGAAAAGACATACCCTCTAATATTTCCATTATATGCAGTAAGTCATAGTTTTATTGTGCCAGTTTTGCCTCCTCAAAAGGTATAATATTATCCAGGCTATCAGTTTTGTTTTGTTTTGTTTAAGTTTATTTATTTACTTTGAGAGACAGAGAGAGCTGAAAGAATCCTAAGCAGTCTCCATGTCGTCAGTACAGAGCCCAACATGGGGCTCAATCCTGTCAACTGTGAGATCATAACCTCATGATCATGAGGTTGAAATCCAGAGTAGGTCCCTTAACTGACTGAGCCACCTAGATGCCCCCTGGCAATCAGTTTTAAAATAAGAATTAGGAAACCCAATGATCAACTAACAGATGTTGGATCCATGAAGCAAATTGAGAAATATTAGTGGTTTGGGCTTTATTAAGATACTATGAGAGTGACTTGTATATAATTAAATGATATAAATAATAGTATTTTTCCAGTATTTTTGGATAACTAGTTTTTTGTTTGTTTTTGTTCCCTAAAACAACTCTTCAAAGTTTCACGGGCACAGCTCTGATTGTCTAGTCTTCTCTTTGTTCTCTCTGCAAGTATTTTTACTACTTAAACTAAATGATTCTTTCATCACATTGCTGATCTTCTTGTTTTGATACTATTTCCTGTATCTTTATTATTGGTCCATAACCTTTACCATTTCTACAGCATTTTGTCAGAAAAATACCTTTGTCTTAGAAAAGGTGGTGTAGTCATAGGCATCACTTATTAAGACGTATTATATTCATAACGAAAAGGAATAAATGTTTTCACCAAAATAAACAAATAATTAAAGCTGTTTCAAAAATAATTTCTGATGATGTGATAAAATCATGTTTAAATAAAACATTTGTCATATAAGAACTAGGAAAATATGCATCATGTTAGAAAGCAAGAGGTAGTGGACAAAGCATTGACTACAGAATCAGACCAGGGTTTGGATACATCTCTGATGCATATTGTTACATGCATTAAATTTTTAGAAAATTGTATCAAAATGTTCTTGTGAGAAGTATAGAATAGATTGATAACATATCTAGGATAGCTCCCATTATCAATACATGGTGATAGGTATTATTAAGTAGTCCTATAACTAATAATTATATATGTATGTAAAATATTTGAAGATGAAGTCCATGTTTCATTTATCCTTTGTTCTCTAAAAGCAGGTTTTGAGATGCTAATTCTTTAAATAATTTAATCAAAAGAGAACTATCAGTTTCTATAAGTTCCTAAAACTTTTTTTAGATTCTACATATAAGTGTGATCATACAGTATTTGTCTCTCTTTGTCTTACTTAGCCTAATGCCATAAAGATCCATCCATTTTGTCTCAAAAAAGTAGAATTTCCTTTTTTTTTAAATGGCTGAATAATATTCTATTATATTTTGAATATGTTTTCTTTATCCATTCACCCATTCATGGAAACATAAGTTATTCAATGTCTTGGCTATTGTAAAAAGTGATGCAATGAACATAGTGTGCAGCAATCTTTTTGAGATAGTGATTTTTGTTTCCTTTAGATATTTACTCAAAAGCAGAATTTCTGGATCAACTGGTAGCTCTATTTTTAATATTTTGAGGGGCTTTGATGCTGTTTTCCATACTGGCTGCACCAATTTATGTTCCCACCAATAGTGTGCAAGCATTCTCTTTTCTCCACATCATCCCTAGCACTTGTTACTTCTAGACTTTTTCATAACTAGACATTCTAACAGGTATGAGGTGATAAAACATTATGATTTTGATTTGCGTTTATCCAATGATTAATGATGTTGAACATATCTTCACGTAATTGTTGGCCATTTGTATGTCTTCTTTGAAAGAATGTTTATTCAATTCTACTGCCAATTTTTTAATTAGGCCATTTTTTTGCACAAATTCCTTAAGTATTTTGGATACTTAGTTCTTTAGCATATAAAGCATTTGCAAATATTTTCTCCCATTCTTTAGATTGCCTTTTTATCTCCTTAATGGTTTCCATTCTGTGCAGAAAGTTTTTTATTTTTTAAGAGTTTTTATTTAAATTCCAGTTAGTTAACATACAGTGTTATATTAGTTTCAAGTGTACATTATAGTGAGCCAGCGCTTCCATACAATACCTAGTGCTCATCACAGCAAGTACACTCCTTAATCCCCATCATCTAATTTACCCATCCCCTCTTGTAACCATCAATTTGTCCTCTATCATTGAAAGTCTGTCTCTTGATTTGGCTCTTTCTTTCTTCCACTTATTCATTTTTCTTTCTTAAATTCCACATATGAATGAAATCATATGGTATTTGTCTTTCTCTGACTTATTTCACTTAGCATAATACTTTCTAGATCCATCCATGTTACAAATGGAAAAATTTCATCCTTTTTGATGGCTGGGTAATATTCTATTGTATATATATATATATATATATATATATATATATATATATATATCACATCTCCTTTATCCGTTCATCAGTTGGTGGACATTTGGGTCGTTTCCATAATTTGGCTATTGCAGATAATGCAATAATAAACATCAGAGGTACATGTGCAGAAGTATTTAGTTTGACATATTCCCATTTGTTTATTTTTGCTTTTGTTGCATTTGCTCTTGGTGTCATCCAAAAGATCATTGTCGATACCAATATCAATATTTTCCCCTATTTTTTTGTCTAGCAGTTTTAGAGTTTCAGGATGTAAATTCCAACTTTAACCCATTTTGAGTGGATTTTTGTATAAGGTAGACATTCAGGATCTAGTTTGAAACTTTTGCATGTGACTGTCCTGTTTTTCCAGCATCATTTATTGAAGAGATTGTTATTTATTCATAGCATATTCTTGCCACCTTTTTCAAAAATTAATTGGCCACATATGTGTGAGGTTATTTCTGGGCCCCCTACTTTGTTCCATTGATCTGTATGTCTGCATTTATGCCAGTATCATACTCTTTTAATTACTTTAGCTTTGTAATATAGTTTGAAATTATGAAGTTTGATGCCTCCAACATTTTTCTTCTTTTTCAAGATTGGGTTTTTGTGGTTCCACAAAATTTTAAGATTGTTTTATTTCTGTTAAAAATGCCATTGGAATTTTGATAGGAATTGCTTTGAATCTGTAGATCACTTTAGTAGTATGGACATTTAATATTAATTGTTCTAATCAATGAACATGAGTTATCTTTCCATATGTATATGTTCTCTTTCATTTATTTCATCAGTGTCTTACAGGTTTTAGTGTATAGATTTTTTACCTCAGATTTTTCCTAAATATTTCATTCTTTTTGATGCAATTTAAATGAGACTGTTTTCTTAACTTCTTTCTAATAGTTCATTGTTAACATATAGAAATATAATTGATTTTGTACATTCATTATGTATCCTGTAACTTTACCAAATTCATTTATTAATTTTAACAGTTATGGGTGAAGTCTTTAGAGTTTTCTTAATATCATGACAACAACAAATGGAGGCAATTTTACTTCTTCCTGTTTGGGTGCCTTTAATTTTTTTCCCTACTTAATTTCTTTGGCTAGGACTTCCAATTCAATGTTAAATAAAAGTGGATAGAGACGGGATAGGGTAGTGTGCAAAGGTAGTCAATGGTACAAACTCCCAGTTATAAGATAAATAAGTTCTGGGGATATAATGTACATCATGAAAGCTATAATGAACACTATTGTATTTTCTATTTGAATGTTGCTAGAGAGTATCTATTGAAAGTTCTCATCACAAGAAAAAAGATAACTATGTGAGGTGATGGATGTTAACTAAGACTATGTGGTAATTATTTGGGATTATATACATCATATCATTCTTTTGTACACTTTAATACATCATTAGATATCAATGCATCTCAATAAAACTAGGAGAGTAAGAGCGACAACTTCAAGGAAAAAAACCTGTTGGGGATTGAGAAGGCAGGGAACATAATGGGGAGAAGCTTCAGGTGGTCTTAGGCAAAGCTCTGTCATAGTGGTACCCCCAGGTGCAAAGGTATAATTCCAAGTACTTCTAGAAATGGCTACTCCAGTAGCCAAAGTACAGTCCTCCAGAAATTAGTAGATATGAGCCATTGGCATCAGTATCAGGACCACAGGATGCTATAATGACTCTGCAAATTTATTCCTTAACACATGTCTGCTTAGCTAAGCAGAATAGAATTAAATTATATTTGCCGTATCTCCAGATCTTCTCTGAGAGGATGGCCATTGTTTGGTACCTTATAGAAGTTAGCATATGGATATGCACAGAATTATTGTTAAATATTTAAAAATTGTTTGGTTTATTTAAGTTATACAATATGAAAATTTCTCATTTTTCCTATTTATATGCATATTTAAATCCAATAGGCCGGAACCTGTTTTGTGGACAAAGGATGGTGGAGAATTGCCAGACCCTGACCGAATGGTTGTGAGTGGTAGGGAGCTAAACATTCTTTTCCTGAACAAAACGGATAATGGTACATATCGATGTGAAGCCACAAACACCATTGGCCAAAGCAGCGCAGAGTATGTTCTCATTGTACACGGTGAGTACTTTTTTGACATCATTACATGTGAAAAAAAAATAAATTACTTGAAATATTTTAAATTTATCATAATATTTAGAATAATAATAAACCAAACTTTAAATAGGCTTTGTTGTTCTTTCAGGATTTTTCCTAAAAGATTCACAATTAATGTGTTCCAAGTCAACTAATAAAATAAAATTACAATATATGATAAAAAATTATTTTTATAAAAGGTTTTCTTTATTACAAATATATAAGTTTTGGTGGCAATGAGTAAATAATAATGGTTTTCTTTAAATTTTATAAATGCTTTTAGTTATAAATCATAGTCATGAAAGCTACATTTACCTTAATTTTGGTTGTATTATCATAAAAACATATACTCTGTTATCATGAAAACTAGTTTCACAAAGAATTATAGCATGTTACTGAGATGTAGCAAAGACAGGTGTGCAGTACTAACTGCACTAATTTCTTATGAACGATGATTTGAAATACCCACAGATATTTTTTCTTCACTGCACTACTCTCACAATTTAAGTAAATGTAACAAAATGCAGGAAAGAAGTACCAGTACCCAAGATTAAGAGAATATCTGTTTTTCCAAACCTCCATAAACCACAATTGTTGTGTATGAGATAGTTTTATTTAACATGTTGCTGGATACCGATGAACTTTTATGAAATTGATAAATAATGCAATAGACAAATTTAGTCAGGTTTCTTTATTGCAGTACTTCTCAGAGCTTATTAAATATGCCATGGTATATTGTGAATTTCCAAGAGAAAGAAGCTTTAAATAATGGAAGGATATAAGACATATTTCACAATGAACCTTTTCTAAGACTAGTATTGTGTTTTATACAATATTAAAGTATTCCAAATGAGTGTTGTATAAAACATGATGTTGTAATAAATCCATTGTATCTTAAAAACCACGGAGAAAAGGATGTTTATTTTATATTTTCCCATGCATCTAATCATAAAATATTATAAGAAGTATGAATTAGTTCTCTGCCTTTCCTTTTTTAAAAATTTTTTTAATGTTTTACTTATTTCTAAGAGAGAGAGAGACAGCGTGAGCAGGGGAGGGTCAGAGAGAGAGGGAGACACAGAATCTGAAACAGGCTCCAGGCTCTGAGCTGGCTGTCAGCCCAGAGCCCGATGTAGGGCCCAAACCCATGAACCATAAGATCATGACCTGAGCCGAAGTCAGACGCTTAACTGACTGAGCCACCCAGGCACTCCAGTTCTCTGCCTTTCCAAAAAAGAAAATTGGGGGTAAAGTCTTATTCTTTGTGAAGGGATTGCATTTTAGGGAAAAAATTAATCTAGGTTGTATCCTCCCCCTAGAGATTTATTTTGTTATGATGCTGGCCAAAATTTGAGAAAAAGAATATATTAAATCAGTATACAAATTTAATATTTTGAAATTAGCTAGTATAGGCAGTCTCTCAATTCTTAATACCACTTTGTTATTGAAAGCTAAATAAGTAAATTGACTACAGTAAATAGACTGTCCACATATAAACTTCTTAAAAATAGAGCTGAGAGATTGATTTCTACCATCTTGTGAGTTGTACAGATTACAACTTTGGGGAAAGATCAACCTAATCAAATTAGATTTATAAACCGGAATTAAATGTGGTAACCCCCTGCAGACACACCCTGACAGGCTTACTGCCACAGTGTCACAACCACTGGGTGTGTCAAGAAGATAAGTAAGATCCCTGGAGCCAGACCCAGGAGTAGCTTTCAGTTCATGCTTACCTATATGTTTAGATCATGCAGTCACGGAAGTGTAGTCTGATTCACTCTTAACTTTCTATGAGCTTCTCACTAACAGTTTTTGGGAACCTGGAGGCATGTTGTATAGCATGTCATGTTGTGTTGAAAGCAATGTGACATAAAAAATATAAAGAATTAGAAGACAAGTGACAGACAAAATAATATGGTTAGATGAAAAGTATGTCATTCTTTTTTTCCTTTCTTTTCTTTTTTTTTTTTTTTTTTAAGTAATTCAAGTGGAGCAAATGCATATGTTTTCCCAGTGTTTGCAAGCTAGCCAACAACACGATTTCCTAAATAGCCAAGCTACCTTTAGGTATTTGGCAGTTGACATATTTCTAATAAATACTTCTCTAACCACTTTGTAAGAAGTCATTTCTGGCTTTGCTTTTTGAACTACAATTCATCAAAAGCACCCCATAGATTAATGTTATTCATGCTGCTAGATAAATGCTGTGAAGTTCAACAGTAGTTTACCTAGGATTATTGACACGCGTAATGAGAGGCTCGATGAAACAGTGAAGCCATACTACACTGTGTTTAAAAAGAGCTCCAATTGGGTTCATTACAAAATAAAGGTTTTTTTTTCCCCTTTGCACACATGGTATAATGTTTCATTAGTCACTGGTTGTATAAATATAAAAAGCTACTCTCTTCTGTTAACGGTTTGGCTGTTTCAAAACCCTACTAAATGATGAAATTTGAGTGGCATTTCGATCTATAATGAATGCTGTATGCATTTCAGAATGGAGTGATAAGTGATCATTTGTGAGAACTTTACCCTTTTATCTTTTACACCGAGGTTGATTTTACATTAGCTGTGATAATTTAATATAGCTGTAGCACAGAAACGCCTTTCATGAGCTGAGACTGTGTCTTTGACTCCACCGCAGTTGCCTTGGTTCTATTGATTCTTAACTTGATGGAGGTCTGAGCACTTTCCTATGAAATCATCTGCTATCTAGATGCCATCCTAATGGTTAGATTTTATTCTTTGGATGTCAATGGAAGTACATTATTTAAATGTTATCACATTTAGTTGATAACAACCTTGACATTCTGTGTTATGGTCACTGGAAGGCTTTTTTCCCCCTCTCCTAATTACACCTTTACAAATTTCAGCTTTAGAACTACAGATGGTAATTTGAAACTGCCAGTCTAAAATTCACCCTCAGTGAAAGGTCAAACAAAATTTAGCATACAAATACTTGCAGGATAAAAATTATACTTGTGAAATGTTTGTATTGTGCTGGTTCCATTGGGAAAGAAAGTAGTATTTTTCATTAACAAGCTCAGCAATGGAAAAATTTATCTGCTAAATTGGTAGCCTTAGTTATTTTATTAATTCATGTAAACAGAATAGGGGTCTTTTTGCTTGTTTTTTTCATCTGTATAAAAATATTGAAGTCATTCTCATGTTTTAATTAGTATCATGCTATTTATTTATTTAGAAGGGCTGATTATTTCCATGTTAATGGTGTTTAAAAATCCTGTTGCATTGCTGTTTTCACTATTTGGAGAACTCAGATCAAGAGAAAAATTCATTCACCAAATAAATCTTTAGCATTTATCTACTGAATACAAAAGCACTATAGTAGCAAAGGCGAACAAAACTCAAGAAGTTTAGAATTGAGCATGGAAGATAAGTTAAGCATTCAAGTAGTTATAATACCAAAATAAAAGAACTAGAGAAGCATGGACTTACAATGATGTAGCTGTTCAGAGTCTTTGAAAGTGTGGTCCAAGTATCTGGACGAAAAAAAAAATGTAACACAGCAATTCTGAATTATTAAAAGACAAATGCTATACATCATAAATTGAAGTACCCAACACAGTGCCAGGTGCATAATAATCAAACTATTATTATTCTGTTACTAGTAGCTGTATGATACCAAAGGAAATCTCAATGCTCTAGTAAAAAACTACTCAAGAGTTGCAGACAATTTAGTGCCCACAGTCTTTCCTGAATGATACCCAGAGTATGAATTAGGTTATCTCTATCGAAGAACAAGGTAATTGTAAACTCTTGCTAACTAAGCAGTAGAGAATATCTTGAAGAGAGTGCAGGAGAAAAGTTATAATTACTCATGTTTCTCTAATGCAATGTCAAGTTCAGATGATTTAGATACAATATCTTCTCCCCAAGAAAAGACCTCCCAGATACACATCTTGCAAGTAGAGAGAGTATAGAAAATACTATTTTATCACACAAGCAATGGCTGCAAAGAACTACAGATGAGCTTGGGCTAATCTTATTTTGTGGAGGGAAGCAACTCAAGTCCTTATGTTTACTTGTCATCAACTGATGTGAAATATATATTCTTTTGAAAGTGTCAGAAACATAGAGCACCCAGGAAAATTTGAGAATGAATATGGAAAGTGAGAAACACAAATCAGTACATTTCCTTTCAAATCTTTAACTTTGTTCTCAATGCCCAGTATATTTCACTTCCCATCACATTCATGCTAGAGAAATTTGTAATTCTCCTCAAAGTACAAATGGAAGAGAAAAGGTGTTGGAACTCTTTAGTATCATTTTTATCCTCAGAACCCTCCCCAGGATTTGGAAAGAAATATAGCAACAAAGTAGAAAAAAATAAGTAGCTTATTTTTTCTTCTACTGGTAGTGGCACTAACTATGGCAGGTCTAGGCTGTAGGAGAGAGTAACAGGGAGTCAGATTGAAGTTTCAGTGGAGAATCCAACTCAGTGTTGTCTCAGACAGTCGCAACAGAGTTGAACACTATTCTAGAAAGGTTACATAGTTCCAGTCTCTCTTCAAACATATTCTTCCTATTACCATAAGAATGCTTACATGAGATTTAAAATTATTTTGCTACTGCTCTAATATTCCTTTACTTCATTATTGTTCTACTTTTGTGGATAAGCTTTTGAAACAATTCATTACTTCTTCATTATCTTAACTTACTATTCTTGTTGTGAATGAAATTATCCACTACAGACCCTGCCACATTTTTACTTTTATGTGTAGATATTTTGCTTTTCTAGCAAATTTTAGCTTTATGACCACATAAAAACAAGTAAAATCCTCCATAACTAGTATAATTATGGTAGAAAGTAAAAAATAATAAAAAGTTTCTTTATATTTCTGTAATGTCAGTCAGTTTACTGACAGTCACTGACTTGATATCTCTAAAATTTCACTTGACAGTTATGGTTTGTTTTATTTATTTGATCATGTATCTGTTGAAATGAATACTGATAAAAGATA